TCCATCACATTGTAATATGCATGCTGAACGTCCACAGAAGTAAATACTATATTAAGTGGCAAAATCTCTAAGGTGAAAACACATTTTCATCTGATTTGAATTTACCTAAGCAATTTCCAGGTTTGTATTTAAGTTGATTAAAATTAGTTATGAAAAGTAGAGGGATGGGGCTCCTGGGTGGCTCAGTCTGTTAACCATCCAACTCTTGATTTTGGCTCAGGTCATGATCTCAAGGTTCATGAGATTGAGCCCCACTTTGGGTTCTGAACTGGCAGCACAGAGCCTGCTTGGGATTCTCTCTCAGTCTCTCTCTCTGCCCCTCCTCCTCCTCCTCTCTCTTAATCTCTCAATTTCTCTCTCAAATAAATAATTTTTTTTTAAAAAGGTACAGACGATGGACAAAATAGAGATTAACTGAAGAGAATTATTTCTTAAAGTGGACAATTTTCTTTAAGTTGTTTGAAAATTCCTTAATTTTACTGAGAAAATATTACTTCTAATGATTGGGTTTGATGACTTAATAAAATGTTTATTTCTGATCCAGCAGGACTCACTTACCTAAAGATATTTACATCTTTAGCATCCACCTAGGTCTCTGACAGTTTCTATGTCTGACATATACAAAACACAATAGCCCAAGTACAGTGATTAGCCAATGGACTTTGACCTTGAAAGGTTTGTTGTGACAAGCTTAAGTGCTTGTTTGGAGATTTCTGTGTCTAAAATTCCCACAGAAATGATGTGGTACTATTGTTTGGTTTTATTATTCATCAAACTTATTAAAAAGACTTGATATCCTCATCACAAAAAAAAAAAAAAAAATTGTAACTATGCATGGCCATGGATGCTAGCTAGACTTACTGTGGGGATTATTTCACAATATATATATAAATATTGAGTCATTAGATTGGACACCTAAAACTAATATGATATTGTATGTCAATTATATCTCAGTAAAATAAATACACAAAAATACATACAAATACATAAAAAAAAGACTTGATAAAACTTTAAATCAGTGTCTTAAGGAAAGAAAACTTTTTAACATAGAGCATGCTTCAGTTTTAAACATTCATGCTGACAATTACATGTTCACAGAAATTTAAGTGTACTCTACATTTTTAACATTTTTTTTACAATCACATAGCAAGATTAATTTTAGATATAAAATATAATAGGCTTTTCTATAACAGCAAAAGGAAACAAAACTTTTACAGTGGTGTAATTACGGTTGTGTCCCTAAATTTTTAGGACACTTCTTAAGTATGGGAATATACTTAAGATTGACCTCTGTACTGGTATCCAGACACCCACTGTAGTATTTGCCTCTACTAAGTATACTCGGCACATTATTATATATTGAAGTCTAGTGTTTGTTTCTGGGTTGGTATTGTCACATTTGATCTTTCTATCATTGCGATGGTAATAAACATACCATATTAAATGTGAAGGTTTTTTGTTTTTAATTTTTTTTTTAATGTTTATTCAGTTTTGAGAGACAGAGAGCAAGCAGGGGTGGGGCAGAGAGAGAGAGGGAGACACAGAATCTGAAGCAGGCTCCAGGCTCTGAGCCGTCAGCACAGAGCCTGATATGGGGCTCGAACCCACGAACCGTGAGATCATGACCTGAGCCGAAGTCAGACACCCAACTGACTGAGCCACCCAGGCGCCCCTGTTTTGTTTTTAAAGTAGGCTCCACCCAATGTGGGGCTTGAACTCACGACCCTGAAATTGAGAGTCAAGTGCTCTACTTCCTGAGCCAGCCAGGTGACCCTATTAAATGTTTTTAATCAGACTTCCTCACAGACCCAAATCACCATTCTATTGTCTCAATCGACCTAAGGAGATTGAAAGGGATGAAATCCTCCATTCCTCTTATATGTCTGGTATAACTGAAATCATCCCATGTTTACTATGAGATCTGCCACACTTGTAAGGATTTCTCTGTTCGTCAACATCAGGATTTGCTGATTTGTTGTCTTCTGCGGTATTTCCTCTTCCATAAGGATCTTCCTCATAATGGTCTTAGAGACATTTTTATCTCCCAACTGTCAGATTTTGCATTTTGAATATGTTGATAAAAAGTCCTACCTACCTTGATGAGCTCAAGGACATGTTTTGCTGAGTAAAGTAACTTATAGCTGGGCGTCTTGTTTAGTGGCAGAAGAAGTCTTTCATTTCAGGGCTTCTTCTGGAGCTTAGCAAAAGCACTGGCTTTCAGCATTGGGTTTTCTTACCTGTAGATGTCTGGACCACTATTTGCAAGCACGTTGGCTCAGTCTGGAGACCTTTTGCTAATAAGTGCAGGTGCTGATGCTCCAAATGCAAATCAATAGAGGTTAGTGAGTCTTCAGACCACAGGAGTCTCTGACCAATGTGGGGATGGACTACTGCTCTGTGAGAGTCAACACCTTTAAACTATTGGGCTGACTAGAGCAGACACCCTCAGCACAGCAGTGAACCACAATGGCACAGGACACTTGTAAACATGACAGCTGCCAGAGTGACAGGCCCATGACTACCCTGAGCAAGACCATATTTATATCTCGTTTAAAGTGTGTCCTTTCTCTCAACAGCAAAAGCTTTCTCTTGTTTTTCATCCTTGACCTATGTCCTTTTCAAAATAGAAGAAGGTGGTACCTCATCTGAGAGGCTAAGACGTCTGGAAGCTGATTAATCCACTTGTGAGTTTGGGCCCGGCTTTTAGAGGTTAATGAACGTAACTGACTGGATATTTCATGTCAGTACTACTTTCGGCAATTACAAGATGTGTGCCTTACGAGGCTCACAACTTGTATCACAAGTTTTGCAAGAAAACTGGCTAAGGCTGATTTGTCTGTGCTTACTATTTGTTGAATTTATATCTTGTCCAGCACATGCATTTTTTGAAAAGTCATTACATGAAAAACTTTCCACCATTCCAATTAGCATCACTGTGTTGACCACCTTTGGAGTGAGAATAGCTGATTGAATGTTTTTCAACTACACTATTGTACATGTTGGTCAAGTTTTGCATTTATTATGAAGTTAATTCTGCCCATGACATGTTGTTAATATTTTCTCGTAGTGTGCACTAATATTTAAACTTTATTAAAAGTTTTTGCCATATAGAAGTTTTTAATTTTTATATAATGAAAATCCTTTTCTGTGTGATTGAGTTCCCTGACCTACTTAGGAAGGTCCCTCACACCCCAAGATTTTTTTTAATACTCCTTTTTTTTTTTTTACATAACACTTTATTTTTTTTTTTAATTTTTTTTTCAACGTTTATTTATTTTTGGGACAGAGAGAGACAGAGCATGAACGGGGGAGGGGCAGAGAGAGAGGGAGACACAGAATCCGAAACAGGCTCCAGGCTCTGAGCCATCAGCCCAGAGCCCGACGCGGGGCCCGAACTCACGGACCCCGAGATTGTGACCTGGCTGAAGTCGGACGCTTAGCCGACTGCGCCACCCAGGCGCCCCTACATAACACTTTAAAATATTTACTTCTGTTACAGTGTATTTGTAAAAGGACATTATATATTTCTCAGCTCTGTAGTTTTCCTTGATTTAGATGGATTCAAAATTTCCTAGGAGAGGAATTTCTTTAAAATGAAGATGATTTTATTTTTGCTTCGGTAAGAGCCTGGTCCAATTCCTTTTTTCAAAAGTGCTTACTTACTTTGTTTACAGAGTATATAAGAATGTTGAATAACTACCCAAGCACGGTCTCTGAATAGAAGTACTAATAAATCCTAAAATGGTGCACTACACTGACCGAGAACACAGTTTGATCCCTAAAGCCGTTTTCAATCTACTGCTCTGTGAAAACAGCAAACAAAAGGCCTCAGTGTTAGTAGAAAACCGAGTTCTTCAAAGCAGGTAAAAGTCCTGTTTAGTCCCTCCATAAAGTAGAGGAGAAAGGGTTTCCAGATTGTGACAAAGTTGCCCTTGTGTAACACAGAACAGCTTTACTTCTTAAGAGCCTAAATTATGAAAACAGTGGAACAACAGAACTGAAAATGAACAAAACAAGAAAGAAAGAAAGAAAGAAAGAAAGAAAGAAAGAAAGAAAGAAAGCAAGCAAACAAGCTTTAGCTTTGACGCAAAGAATTACAGCAGTCCTTGACATAACCAAAGATTCTTAATTTTTAAAACGCTTCCTTCTAGCAGTGACTAACCTTTCATTATCTGTGACAACACATCAAGTGAGCAGCAGTACAAAGGATGCATGTGATTTCGAAATGCCACAACTGAGCCAACTGCAGTCGCCCGCGTGTGTAGTATGGAGGCGTGACCAAAAAAGACTATAGGAAGCATGGGGCTTTATCTGCCTCACAAGGTACTCTCCCAGTCTCCCCTAGCAGAAGTTTGCGAAGTTTCTCCCCGCTTGAAAGTGCCCCTGGCGACAAGTATCCACCTTGTCCGAGCCTAGGGCCGTGGCTTTCAAGGTGTTGAGTCACCGGGTACAGCGGCCGTGCGACATAAATATTATTTGATGACGGAGATCGTAGTGGCGCAGGTGCCAAAGTAAACCGCTGACAAAGATGACTGTGGTTTGACTTATGGCAGAAGAAAGTAGGGTCGGGGCTAAGGCACGGTTCCAGCCCTAAAGGGATTGCATTTTAAGTTTGAGGCAACTTCAAAGCTCCCCATGTGACATCTGCGCACTCCTCGGCGGTTTTAACTATGACAACCAGCGCTTCCGGCGTGATTCCTTACAGTCGAACGAAATCTTCTCCCGCTCCCATTCCTCCTCCACCCCAGACTTCGTCCACCCCTGAGTCCCTCCACTGCCCCTTCCCTCCCCCGCCCTAGAGATGCTACGACTCCAGCGCTTCGCCATTCATCAACCGGTTCACACCGGCAGCGGCCGCCGCGCGGTGACGTCCGCAAGGGGCGGGTCTCCGCCCCCGCTCGTCGGCGCTCGGCCTGGGGCCCCCGGCGGTGATTGGTGGCCGGGAGTTCACACGTCGTGCCGGCTATAAAAGAGAGGGTTTGTGACGCAAGGGCGCCTCGGCGCGCGTATTGGCTCCCTGTACTGCGGGCCGGCTGGGCTACGCGCTCTCCTCGGAGCCGCTCACTGCATGGTAGAGTCTGGTGCCCCCGCCGCCGCCTGCAAAGCCGCCGCCGCCCCGCGAAGACCACCGCTACCCCCTGCCCTGCAGCCGCCGCCACCGCCTGTGTCGCCGCCGCCTCGGGACCGGCTGTATGATTAGGCCACAATCTTCAATGAGTAAACATATTCCTGTGAGTATCCGTCGCACAGCCGCCTCTGGGGCCGGGGCTCCACGGCCGGCCCCCCCATCCCCACCATCGCCTTTGTTCGGAGCCCGGCGTCCGCTCCCCACCGCCCCAGCACGCAGTTCCGGTGGGTCCCTGGCAGGAGCGGTCCGGACTACGGGCCTGTGGCCGGCCGGTGGGGCTGGCTGCGGGGAGGCGAACGCTGGGGTCCACGGGGCTGCGGAGTGGCGGTTGGCTGCCAGAGGCACCGGCTTCCTCATCCCAGCCGAGCCGGGGACGGTGGGGGCGGTGCGGCCGGGCCTGCGCGGCGGGCGGGGGCGGTTTCGGCCACCGCAGCAGGCCGGGCGGGGCGGCACAAAAGCCGCTTTGTGACCGCCGCCTCCGCCCTTGGCCCTCGGGTCTGGCGCGCCTGGCCGGGGCCCGGCGGGCTCCGCGGCGTCCCGAGTCCCCTTTGTTTGGCCGAAAGAGAGCGGCCCGCCTGGGAAGCGGGAGACGTGGCCCGGGGTGGGGCAAGGGCTGCGCGTGTCACTGCGGAGCCGGATACGGGGAGGGCGCGGCGGCGGGGTCGCCACCAGACCCGGGTCGGCGTGGAGTAGGCGGGGCAGCGGGCGAGGCTGATAACGGTCTCGACCGGGAGGTCTCCGGGCTCGCGGCCCGGAGCGGGACAGGAGCCTGGTGCCGCCACCCCTGTGCTCCGCGGCCCGACCGGCGCCTCAGACAAAATGGCCTCGGCGTCCGCGCCTGACTGAAGGCGCGGCGCGAACCCGTGATTGCGGCGCGGAGAGGGAGCGCCGCGGGCGGGCCCCGGCGCGCACGGCCGCGTGTGCTGAGCTGCGGCCATCGGGGGCTTTCCCCGAGCTGCAGCCTTACGGGGGCAAGTGCGAGGCTCTGCTAGGTGAGGACACCGACTCCCTGCCCCGCCCTGCTCCCTCAGTCTCCACCTGGTAATTCGAGCTGTTCCGGATTTAACGCCCCACTTCGGGCTCTGGATAATGGGAACAAGTCGAGTCTTGTCCTTTTCTCTGGGACAAGTCGGTGGAGAAATGGTCTGGGTCTGAGCGCCTTGGAAACTGCCAGGACTACTGTTGCACTGAAGCGAAGGAGTCCACGGCCGGGCACCAGTATGCACTTTCCCTGCCAATCTTTGGGGCCCTGGATGGCGCCTTTTAATAGGGGACTATTTAGAACTGTTCCTGAAATCCTTGGTGTAATGTGTTGTTGCCTGCTTTTGGCTTGTGGCAACGGCAGGCAACCAGAGCCAGAATTCTGAGGTTTATCTTCTGTCGGTGGAAGCCTTCTGCCATTCCAAGAGTATTAAGTTGTTATTTGCACTGTAGTTGGAACCGTCGACCTGCTTGGGATCCAGATTCTGAGGCAATGCTTCCTGTTATTCTTTTTATATGAATTTTGTTTGATGGCAGTAAATCGGTTGAAAACCGAAAAGCTAGATCATCCCCATGCATTTCACATATGCTCTGTACCAGGTGCGTTACCTAAGATACAAGTAGATCTGAAACAAACTTTCCAACGAACTACTGGACAAAGTGGTCCTGCAGATTAATTGCTTTGACTGCAGTCTGACAGACCAACTTAAGCTTCTGCACAGAAACTGCTTTCTTCCCTCTGTGTATATTATTGTGATTATATGCACTGCTAGGTGGAAGGGGAGAGACATTCCTTGGTATTTCTGAGCAGCCTATTGTGGATAGTTTCTCCTGTGGAAAGGAAATTGGTAATGAGGAAATGTCTTAGGCAGTAAGGAAAGGTGTTAGGTAGTTGTGGTGACTGCTGTTTTGGTGGAAGTTCCCCCCCAGCCACTGGATGGCTCCACTAAGTGAATTATTTCTGTTGCTTTCTTTGCTCCGTGATGAAAGTTGCTTATATGAAGAGATGTGTCCAGACTCAGCTGTGACGAGAATTTTAGCTGTTAAATGTGGAAATCGTGATGTGAAATACTGTCTTACATATTTGCTTTCAGTTGACAAAAGAGTATCTGGAAATCAGAATACCGAACTACACGGGTCATTGCACTTAACACTTTACAAAGATTCTTAAATTCCTTGTATGTCATGGAAAAGCTGCCAGAATCACTTTTTTTTTTTTTCAATTCTAAGGAAATAATATTTAGGATTTGAGGAAAACATATAATTGAAATTATTTTCCAGATTACTACAGTCTGTGTTTGCTGTAGTAGAGCAAAGTCCTTAATGGTAGTCACTAATGTTTTAACCCAGCTAGCAAATAGGTGAAGGAATAACCTCTGAGGGCTCATTTAAACAAATTTGGAATAATGAAAGTCCTCTTTCTTCTGGGACAATCTTGTAAGAAATGACTCCTGAGGCTAGTTCCTTTGTTTTGACAGAAAAAATGAACTGGGTTTTTGACTTGATGTTTCAATGATTTGCCATATGTGAATTCTTCAAAATGTAGCAAAGTTATTCTGGAGCCTATAACTGGCATGGTGCAAAATGCTATTTAAAGTTGCAAAATGAAAATAGCAGATAGATTGAATTTAATTTTAAGCCTTTTAAATGTTTAAATTTAGGGGAATCTTTTATTCTTAAAAGAATACATTTTATTGGGTAATTTGCCTTTGGAAATACATATAAAGTGTTTGAGGCAGTGCCTGGTACTTGGTGCTTTTATTAACCTATGAATTTTTCTTATTCCTGGCTTTACTCCTAAGCACACATGCAAACACAAGTCTTTTTTTTTTTT